AATTCCAACGAGACCTACATCTCTGCTTTATTGACCTGAGCAAGGCCTATTATACCATTAAGAGGTCTGGGCTCTGGGTTATTCTTCGTGCTTTCGGAGTCCCTGACCCTCTGCTCAAGCTCATTAAGGACCTTTATGACGGTGAGCGGGCCCAGGTAAAACTACGTAGCCGGGAGTCTGAGCCAATCCCTGTTCACCTTGGGGTGCAACAGGGATATCCTCTGGCTCCCACATTATTTAACATATTTTTCGACCACGTAGTTCGCGAAGCCTTCCATCTGGTAGAGAGACAATGGGGGGTTGATCGATGCCCGGGTGCAGTCAAGGGATTGCTCCCTATTGGTCAACCACGTTATGTATGCCGATGATCTGGTAATAGCTGCTCATTCAGAGGAGGAGTTGTAGATGCTGCTGCTGAACCTGGAGCGTGCCACGAAGAGGTGGGGCCTTACCATCAGCTCTACCAAAACTAAGCACCTGCCTGGGTATTTTGTACCATCGGGCACTCCAACCCCACAACTCCCAATTGGTGATGGGGCAGTTGTGGAGAAAGTGGAGAGTTTCCAATACCTGGGCAGTGTGCTCAAGACCGGCACTAGTTTGACAGCAGAGGTATCACTCCGAATTAGTGAAGTGGCATTATATTTTCGTCGGTTGCGTAACGCTGTGTGGAAGCTACCTGGCCTGTCGCTCCGCACGAAGCCTCAGGTCTTTTCGGCCACAGTCATTCCCTCCCTTCTCTACGCTTGCGAAACGTGGACCCCCCTAATGGAACATCTTCGCCAGTTAAAAACATTCAGGCTGGCCTGCCTACGATCCATCCTGGGTTTTAACCAGGCTGGATTGTGTGAGGAGCTCACAAATCCTTGAAAGATATGGATAAAGTCCCATCAGTGAGCTCCTCCGGCAGGCAAGGCTGCGATGGCTGGGTCATGTAGCCCGCATTCCCAGCCACCACATGCCTAAACAGCTTTTGTTCGGCAGGATAGAGGAGGCTAAATGGGCGCGGCACGGGCTAGAGAAGAGATGGAGTTATGTGGTACAGGAGGACGTGGAGCTGAGTGGACTTGCCGATGACTGGTACCACCGGTGTCAAGATCGGCCTCTGTGGAGGAGGCTCGTGAAGGACGCTACTGGGCAGTTGGAGGCAGTCGCCCTCCAACAACAACGGAGGGCGGAGGAGCGACGCTCACAACAATGATCAGAGCGCCGGTTGGCTAAAGCACAGCAGGTTGGCACAGTAGGGGGTACAGGTGGTGCATCAGCCAGTCATCTCAGTCCTTTCACTCAGTCGGCCCGTGTTATCTGGGTCTGCCCCGTGACCTCCTGCCAGTGAGCGTTCGACACTTCACGTGGCCTCAACGTGCACATAGCCTGGCACAAGCGTCGTGGTGGCGTCACCGCCAGTTAGTGGCGAATGGCGGTTGTTGTTGTTTGTGTATGTGTGCTAGGGATGAACGAAACACTTGTTCGATGGCCAACCAAACAACCCCCATCGCTCTTCACGGTGCGTGGAGGGCCTTCGTCCACCAGTGGACTGCCGAAAGCTCCCTGGACGAGATGTTAACTACCTCGCCTGGTATATAGAGGGCATGGGTTCTTACTCGACTATACATTTGGAGTCTGCGCGTCTCTCTCTCCATGGTCGCGTGCGTTTTTCTCCGGGTCCTCCGGTTTTTCCCCTCCACAATTAAAGTCGACACCACGCGTTCAGACTATTTGTCTGCTGCTGCTGCTGCTGCACGTTTCCATACGACGATAAGCCACTTCGTCGGGCTATCATTTGTGATAGCCAGGTCGCTTCTAACAACAACAAAAACGAGCTATATAGCTCAGCGGGGCCTTACACCTGGTACAAAAATGAACACTAAATTAATAAAGAATTAAAAGCTTTCTTGACTGCATAAATTACTCATTGGTTTTTTCGGTAAAGTCACCGAAAAAAACAATGAACAATAAATGAAATTTCGATTTAAAGCTTTCGTGACTGCAAGGATTCATCTTCTTTGGTTCTATCGGTAAAGTCACGTAGAATGAGAATAAAATAATAAATTGATAAAATAAAATAACACAATAAAATTCTCACGACGTTTCGGCCACAACACAAGCGGCCTTCATCAGGTAAAGGGACGAGACTGTCTGGAGGACAGCGCTGACTTTACCGAAAGAACCAAAGAAGAGCAATAAATTAGTTGAGAATAGAAATATAAGATCGTGAGAACGGAAAGCATAAGACAAACATCATGAAGATGGGAGTCCACGTGCTCCTCCGTCTCTCGATGCCCTCCACACCCCACGTTACCTCCGTCGGCTAGCTGGCCGATGGATGAACTCACCAGTTAACTACTTCATGGATTTATCGATGAGTTAATCGGTGGCTCAATTGAAGCTATGACCGCGCCTGTATTGCGGGTAAAGTAAAACAAAAAAAACCGCCAATAATATCTGCGTGATGATTTCGTTGACGATGCTGCTGCTGCTTTGGTAGCGACGTGCACCAAACGTCAGTCGACACACTGCTCAACAACCTACCGTGGCATTTAACAAAAAATTTACAATATTTTCACGGTCCCCTTTTTGTAGGCAATGGTCCTTCCCCCACAGAACGTAGAGGGCCCACATAGACACGTGACAGTGCGAACGTTCCATTGGCCAAAACGTCGAACATCATGTACGTTTCCTTTTACGGCCACTGTCTTATGCACAAAGATCCCCCGTATAGCCTGTAACAGACTGTAGGGGCAAGTGCTGTTCGCGAGCACCTATGAAGGCCGGAACGGTACACGAGGGAGTGGGTGGCCAGCACCACGCCCGACCGCCTTAGTCTCCCCAGTGGCGATGTTTTTATCCACCGCACCAGGTACTCATTTGAGGCTGAGTCGACCTAGGGGAGGCCCAGGACCGGTTCAGATAATCGTCACTGGTGTTGGCCGTGAGCGGGAATCGAACTCGGGTCGCCAGGTTCATAGCGCAGCGCGCTAACCGCTACACTACCGCCTATTCACGTCTCCCCCCCACCCCCCTTTTGCGTCGTTTCACAAATACGTCGTCACTTTGTTATTAACACCGCCACCTGATTTGCATCGCCCCGACCCCTTTCGCTTACATCGCCGACAGCATCATCATCATCGTCATCATCGTCATTGTCGTCCCGTCCTGTCTCGTTACCCGTCGCCTCTCAGCCTTTGCCTCCACCCGCCCACTGCTCTCTTGTAAAGTCGCTTCGATTTTACGTCGTTTCGATATTCGTCGTGGCACCTCACAGGAACGCATCCCCGTCGTGAACCGGGGAGTGTTCCAGTATTTGTTTTAAAACCCCCACATTACATTTCGAAACATCCTTTTAGGGCGTTTGGCTGCTACTAAACATTTCCACGTGATGATCCACTTCATATTCTTAGCTCTTTCGGTAAAGTCACGTTGAAGGGAAGCAATAAAATAATAAAATATATAATCAGTGTGATGATGACCGTTTGTGTTATGGTCGAAACGTCGTGAGAATTTTTATCATTATTTTATATATATTTTATTATTTTATTGTTTCCCTTCAACGTGACTTTACCGAAAGAGCTAAGAATATGAATTACTGCAGTCACGAAAGCTTTAAATCAAAATTTATGATCCACTTCGTTGAGCTATCATTTGTGGCCAGGTCGCTTCTGAAAAAAAACCCAGCTATACAGCTCAGGGGGGCTTAACCTGGTAACATTAAAACGTAGAGTTAGTTTAGTTACAAAAAATATTTTTCAAGAGGGTCCATGCATTTGAATGCTAGGCAGGCTGGAGTGTTTGTCGGACTCACAGATGAACACACGCACACTAGACAAATCCTAAGCAGGATTTGTCTAGTGTGCGTGTGTTCTGAACGTGGCTCTCTCACTCCAGCGCTGTCCTACCAGACAGTCTCGCCCCCTTCACCTGATGAAGGCCGCTTGTGTTGTGGCCGAAACGTCGTGAGAATATTATTGTGTTATTTTATTTTATCAATTTATTATTTTATTCTCATTCTACGTGACTTTACCGAAAGAACCAAAGAAGATAAATCCTAAGCAGGTTTACAAAACGTCCGATGCGTTTACTTAACAACCGCCTCTGCAATTGCTTCCTGTATACGAAACGTAATCTTCCTTTATTTACCCAGACGTAAAACTCATCGAGATTAATTGCATATTTTACTTGGGTCACGCTCGTTTATACCGGGGCTGTTAAACCGGTAACCGTTTTCAGAATCGATTACCGGTTCAGTTCTTTCGGAAACCGTTGATGGTTACAGGCCGAATGGGAAAGAGGCTGAGTGCTTTGGATCGCGTGGCTTTTTACTTTGCTCCGACGACCTACCCTGGTCCTCCTGTCGTGGTGATCTTGCGTCGGTCTGGTCGCTCGCGGATTTAAGTCGATGCCGGTGCTTTCTGCCGATGCTAATCGGGGGTGCACCTCCGATTTGCACGGATGGTTGCGTGCGGTGCGAAAGAAGTTCAACGCACATGCACACGCGCTGCTGCTGATGGTGCTGATGGTGCTGCTGATGCCGATGATACTGATGATGCTGATGATGATGTATAACTTCAACTAATGTTGATGCTGATGATGATTCTAATGATGATGATATTGATCATGTATAACTTCACTTAATGGTGATGCTGATGATACTGATGATGCTACTGATGCTGCCGATGATGTACAACTTGACTTAATGATGCTGCTGCTGCTGATGGTGCTGCTGATACTGATGATGCTGATGATGATGTATAACTTCAACTAATGATGATACTGATGATGTATAACTTCATTTAATGATGGTACTGATTATGTTACTGATGATACTGATGATGATGATGATACTGATGATGATTCTAATGATGATGATACTGATCATGTATAACTTCACTTAATGATGATGCTGATGATACTGATGATGCTACTGATGCTGCCGATGATGTACAACTTCACTTAATAATGATGCTGCTGCTGCTGATGATGATGATGTAAGGACCACTCACCTGGCCACCCCGCCTTCCACAGGTGAGCTCGCGACTTGGTGCTTCTCATCCACGCAAAGGCCGCGGTGTCCACCCCTCCTCTCAGCTCGTCCACAGCTCTCATCGTGCCCACTCCTCCTCTCAGCTCGCCCACCCCTCCTCTCGACGCGTCGACCCCTTCGAGCGCGAACCCCTCGCCCAGGGCGGCTCCGTTCGACTCCTCAATGGGGCCTCGACGTCGCCGTGTCTCGCCGTACGGCGCCGGGTCGAGGCTCCCGCGATGAGTCCCCGCGGCGAACAGGCACGCGGACTCCCCCGGAAGGTAGCCGGGGGCGCGCTCGACCTGACCCCGACTCGAACTCAGCGCCGCGAGCTCCGCGGACGCCTCCAAGCGGCGTTGGGTTGCATCCTGAGCCGAGCCCGGAGGAAATCTCCACGCGGCGGCGGCGGCGGCGGCGGCAACGAGATGGTGGAGGTGCTGGTGGCTGTGGTTGTCGTGGTGGTGGTCGTGGTGGTGGTCGTGGTGGTGGTGGTTGCTGTTGTGGTGGTGCTGGTGCTGGTGGTGACGCTGGTCATCGACCGAGCAAGAGATTGCGTGCGGCGGCTGCTGCTGACTGAGAGAGACAAAGGCGGTCGCGTTGGAGTCCGTGAAGGTCGCGGTTGGTATCGAGGTCGATGATGGCAGTGGTGGTGGTGGTAGTGGTGGATTTTGTTCCAATGTCGAGAACACGCTGAGCGGGTTGAAATCCTCAGCGTTGGTGTCCACCACGGCGTACAGGCAGTCCGGCTTAACCGCAAACGCACAGCGTTCTCCATCCATCGCGGCTCTATCCATATCGACAGTCAACTAAACGCGCATTTAAAAAAAAAAACAATTTCGAAGTCAACTGATTAAAAAAATAAAAATAAACGTTTAAGTAAATTACAAAAGAGTTCAAAACGCGTAGCTGCTGTCTCTCTACGTTGTTTCTTAACTCGCGCGATTATTATTCTTATTAATAGTTTGATGATGACTTTTATTTATAAATACAAGATACTCATTTGATATTAGTCCGCGCAGATTGCGGTAATGTGATGGCTGACTCTGCATGCGCGCGTGATTCCGTGGGCTGCCGTGTAAGCGCTGTGACTAAAAGTGTGCAACGGAAAGTTAAACGCCGTGTGTGTGCGCGCGTGTGTGTGTGTGCCACCAATGGCAATGCGTCATCGAGTCGACTGATATATATATGGCTCATTTGTTGATTCAGTGATTGCCCTAAAGGGTGACTTATTCCAATTCATCTTTGCCGAACCTGTCAGCGGTGGCGACTGGAGGTGAAGATCTTTGATGTCAAATAAATTTATAACGGGCAACATGTGGTTGGATGTTTTTGTGTGTGTGTGTGCGTACGCGTCCCTCGACAGATGCGTACTCTCACGGTGACATATGCACGTACTTTACAATTGTGAAAAAAATATATACATCGTTTTACATGTGTGTGTGTGTGTTTTTTTTAACAAATTGTGAAAATGTACCGTCGCTTTTTTGTTTGTCGACGAGTCACGGCTGACCACGGTTCTCTGTGTGGGTTGAGGGCGTCAGCGGAACAGCCCGGGACCGGTTCCGATCGTGTTGCATCACTGACCCCAACTGATGTCGACCGCGGCTAGGAGTCTCACTCGGGCGTCCCGGGTTCAGAGTGCAGAGCGCAAAAGCCGGGAGAGCCACAAGCGCTCGAACGGTGCATAGAATACGCGTGACAATAATGTCGTGTTGAATTTACAAGTGTCTGTGTACACATCTGGGGTTATGTGTTTCCCCTCTCTCGTAAATTTAGCCCTTCTGTACCTGATGATGGCTGCTTGTGTTGCAACCGAAACGTCGCACGCTATTGTGTTATTTCATTATTTTTTTATTCATACGTGACTTTACCGAAAAAAAACAAAGATTAATTCCTGCAGTCACAAAAGCTTCGAACCAAGTTTAAAGTTAAATCACGTTCAGCCACCTTGGTAAATCCACTGCTGGATGAATGTTTTTGGGCCTGTTTTGACATACTTCACCACGATTATCAAACGCGGGTCGGCGAAGAGAGGTTTCGGGTGGCTGCCGAGGCGACGGTTCAGATGTCACTCGGTCTGGAATCGAACTCGCGTTGCCGGGGTTAATTTCGCGGCAGGCTAAAATTAAATTATTTTTTTTTTTTACCAGGCAAGGCCCCACTGAGCTGCGTAGCTATTTTTTTTTAGAAGCGGCCCGACCACCACAAATGATCGCTCAACGAAGTGGCTCATCACCTGGAAATGTACAGCAGCCAAATCCTCCAAAGCGCGTGATGTCCATTCTAAGTGTGGAGGGAAAAACCGGAGGACCCGGAGAAAAATCCACGTGACCAAGGGAGAAAGAGAGAGAGAGAGAGAGAGACATAAATTCCAAATATACAGCAGGCGTCAGGGTCTGGATTGAATCCACGATCTTCTTCATACCAGGCGAGGTAGTTAACATCTCCTAGCCACCGTGATGATGATGATGAGAGAGAGAGACACGCAAACTCCAAATATACAGCAGCAGGCGTCAGGGTCGGGATGGAACCCACGACCTCTTGCGTACCAGGCGAGGTAGTTAACATCTCGTAGCCACCGTGATGATAATGAGAGAGAGAGAGACACGCAAACTCCAAATACACAGCAGCAGGCGTCAGGGTCGGGATCGAACCCACGACCTCCTGCGTACCAGGCGAGGGAGTTAACATCTCCTAGCCACCCTGATGATGATGATGAGAGAGAGAGACACGCAAACTCCAAATATACAGCAGCAGGCGTCAGGGTCGGGATCGAACCCACGACCCCCTGCGTACCAGGCGAGGTAGTTAACATCTCCTAGCCACCGTGATGATGATGATGATGATGAGAGAGAGACACGCAAACTCCAAATATACAGCAGCAGACATCACTGTCCAGGGATCGAACCCACGACCTCCTGTGTACCAGGCGAGGTAGTTAACCTCTGGCCACCACTCACCGCTGCGCCACCGCTCCATCCCTAAAGTTTCGGGCAGTGTCACTGAGGTGTCGGGACAGCGCCTGGAATGTTCAGGCAGTCGTGTAACGAGCGTGGCGGGGCACGCGGGTGCCTTGGCTCTGTCCTCCCGGGTGGCCAAAGCTACGAGTTGCCCCCCCCCCCACCACCCCCCTCCCACCTCCTTGACAACCACCATGAGATTTGTTTTCAACAACAACTTATTTAAAACGCGGTTGACATTCATATCTTTTCATGAGAATGCTTTCACTTACGTTTCACGTTTTATTTTATTTTTCTATTCGAGCGGGAACGTGATGTTGAAAAGAGGTCACTGCGAAGCTTTAGTGGCTGCACTTTGCGAAGACGGGGGCGCTCCCTACAGCGTTAAATGTTCGAGACCGTGAGCGTAACGACGACGATGTGATGAGGCAAGAGGAGCCCGCGATATCACAATAGCCTCTAGGTGGGACCGCGCGAGACAAATCAAATATTGGGGGGGACCCCACCTGACCGATTGGCGCACCCCCCAAAGCTGATAATGCGGTTAATACAAATCTGCACTTTTCTGAGATGGCATCAAGAGGCTGCAAGCATCCGGCAGACGCATTTTGTTACGTGTGCGGCCAATTTATGAAGACACGAGCGAAAAAGCGCTCTGTGGAAGCATCTGCTAAGATGTGCGAGGCCTACAACGCATATTTCGGCATGCCTGTCGGGGAACAAGACTAACCCTGGGCACCTCATTTCACCTGCGAGCAATGCAAAAAAAAACTCTGGAAGGTAAGATGGACAATTGTTGCTCGGAATTTAACGTTTTGAAATGAGATAAAATTGATCAAATTTAAAAAAAGTTTTTAATTTTAAAATGTATTACAATTTTAAATGCTATTGAAAACATATTTAACATATGAAAAATGTTGCGAGAATCTCATACATATTAGTAATGTTTGAAATAAATGTGTTTTTGTTGGATGGTACAGCGGGGAAAAGAGAGCCATGAAGTTCGCTATCCCGAGAATTTAGCGATAACCCACTGACCACTCAAGCAACTGCTACTTCTGCATGGTGGACCCTTCCAAACGTCGGACTGGCAAGAATGCACCTGCTATCACGTATCCGGACCTTCCTTCATCCATCGCCCCGGTGCCACACTGCCATGAGCTCCCCGTACCCATTCCTCCGGAGAGAGAGCATCCGTCTTTAGAAGAGAGCAGCAAGTCAGAGAGCGAGGAAGACGTTGTAGATCCAGGTGACAATTTCAGAGGTGGAGCTGAGGAGAGAAACCCATACTACCCCAACCAAAAAGACCTCAACGACTTGATCAGAGATCTTGGACTCACCAAGTGCAATGCCGAGCTTTTGACGTCTAGGCTCAAGCAGTGGAACTTGTTGGATGCAAGTGTGAAAGTCGCAGATCAGAGGAAGCGTCACCAACCTTTTTGCAGCTTCATCACCCGTCAAGATGGGCTCTGCTTCTGCCACAATGTGACCAGTCTGTTCGAGGCAATCGGAATCGCCTGTCACCAAAATGAGTGGCGCCTCTTCATTGACAGCTCTTCCAGGAGCCTCAAAGCCGTGCTGCTCCATAATGGTAACAAGTACCCGTCTCTTCTCCTGGCTCACTCGGTGCACCTCAAAGAGGATTACAACAGCATCAAGACCTTGCTGGGCGCCTTGAAGTTTGATGAGTATGGCTGGGAGGTCATCGGAGACTTCAAAATGATGGCATTCCTGATGGGTCTACAAGGCGGTTTTACCAACTTTCCCTTGCTACCTTTGCCTTTGGGACAGCAGGGACACCAAGGCGCACAACCACAGACCCCTCTCCACGATTAGAAACTATATCACGCGTTTAGAGTATTTGGCTGCTGTAAATTTTCGCGTGGATATGCCACTTCGTTGAGCTATTATTGGTGGCCGGGTCGCTTCTGAAAAGAGCAGCATCTTATCTTATTTAGCGCTTTAACCACAGCTCAGTGGGCCATAGCTTGTTAAATGAATGAAATAAAGTCTAGTAGTTTTTTTTTTATTACTGTCTGTCTATTCTACGTAATCTGCCTGGTGCAGTATGTTCGTTAGTAGTCTCATTCGTACCGTCAGAGTGGCTACAGGTGATAACCAGGGATGTGTGTATTAACCAGGGCTGTGTGTATTCAACAGGGCTGGGTGTTTTCACCAGGGCTGTGTGTATTCAACAGGGCTGGGTGTTTTCACCAGGGCTGTGTGTATTCAGCAGGACTGCGTGTATTCACCATGGCTGTGTGTATTCACCAGGGCTGTGTGTATTCACCAGGGTTGGGTGTATTCACCAGGGCTGTGTGTATTCACCAGGGCTGTGTGTATTCACCAGGGCTGTGTGTATTCACCGGGGCTGTGGGTATTCACCGGGGCTGCATGTATTCACCAGGGCTGTGTGTATTCACCAGGGCTGGGTGTATTCACCAGGGC